TTCATGTTTCATTCGTTCACCTATAAAATGGGGAAAGATCACCTTCATCACCTATTCCAAGGGAAATAATGTAAATGAAATATTTGTAAACTATGCAAAATAAGTGTAAGGTGTTGCGTGCAGATAATTGCCGGCTCACTCTGCCACAAGCGTTCTCCTCTCTCAAGGGCTTCCTGGCTTCCCAGGTCTCTCATGAGGGGCCCGAGTTTCACCTTCTTTGCTCCTACCGCCACCCTGTGGCTACTTTGAGAATTGCATGATACAGTTAGGGATGCTAAGCAAGAAGGGAAAAGACAAGTTTACAAATAGAAAAGTATTTGTTAAGTCTTTCAAAGTTAGTTAATAAATTCAACGCATTGCCAATCAAAAGCTCCTAATAAGTTGATTCTAAATTCCTATGGAAGACTGAATGGGTAAGAATAGTCAAGACAGATTTGAAAAATAAGAATAAAGAGGGGGAGGGCTTCCCTGGTGGCGCAGTGGTTGAGAGTCTGCCTGCCGATGCAGGGGGCACGGGTTCGTTCCCCGGTCCGGGAAGATCCCACATGCCGCGGAGCGGCTGGGCCTGTGAGCCATGGCCGCTGGGCCTGCGCGTCCGGAGCCTGTGCTCCGCAACGGGAGAAGCCACAACAGTGAGAGGCCCGCATACCGGAAAAAAAAAAAAAAAAAAAAGGGGGGGGGAGAAAAACATGTTAGAAAGCTATAGTTATACAAACTGGGATATTGTCACAAGAGTAAGTAGATGGATCAGTGTAGCACAATGGAAAATCCAGAAGGATCTCTGAATATATGGGAATTTAGCATACAATAAAGATACGACTTTAAATAAAAGGGGGAAGAATTCAATAAATGGGATTAGGACAACTGACTGCCCATTAAGACCTAAGTGACACTGTCATAAAACTTACTCCTAAACGAATTGTAGATCTAAACTTACAAAACACAATTATATAGTATTAAAGGAAAATATTTGGGGAGTAACAAAGACTTCAAAAAATTTTAAAACACACAAAACAAAACCATAGCCTAAGTGATTGATAAAATTGATTACATCAACATTCTAAAAATTCTGTTCATCAAAAGAGTGTAAACAAAGTTAAATAAGTGAAAGTATGAGAGAAGAATTTTGCAACAAATGAATATTATATAAAGAAAATCCTACAAATGAATTTTTAAATGACTCAGAACAGGAGCAAAGTATAAAAATAAGCAAGTCAAAAGAAAAGCAAATGGTCAATAAACTTATGAAAATATTCACTTAATAATCCAAGAAATGCAAAGTAAAACAATTATCATGTCATTTTCACCAATTCGACTGCAAAAATTGAAAACATTTAACTGTCAGAGAGAGTCTGGGAAAAGGACACTCATTTTGTGTTGGTGAATAGTGTAATTATTCAATAAACTATGTTATATCTATATTGTGCACAAATGGAAAAGGATGAGGGAGATCTTAGTGCATGACATAGTACAATCTCTGGATGTGTTGAATGAAAAATCACATTGAAATGAAATACATATAGTACGATACTATTAATGTGAACCATAAGAAACGCTACAGATTTTCTATGGATGCTGGTGGGCATGTGTGTATGTACATGTAGGTATGCACAAGCAAAATGTCCCACCAGATGTTCGCCAAACAAAATACGGTAGTCACCTTTGGAGAGGAGATGGGAATTGAGGTGCTGGTCAAAAGGGGCGCTAGCCTTAACTTTCATGTTTTAAAAGGATGCATTATTTGTGTAATTAGAGACTTATTTAAAGAAGAAACTGACTAACGTGATAGATGGTATTTTCCAAAGATGGCCACAACGATGTGTCCAATCCCTCCTGCTCTTGGTAATGTGAACTTGCCAATCCCCACCTCCAACAGCTTTCAAATATCAGAGCTGGCATCCAAAGCCAGATAATCTAGATGACATCCAAGCTAAGCCTATGACCACTATCCAACACTGCTCTGGCTAATTAACCCTTACAACAATCCTATAAGGTAATACTGCTAACATACCCATTTTACAGAAGAGGAAACTGAGGCTCATACAGGAATTACAAATAGCAAGGAACTAGTTAAGAAAAGAAAGAAGAAAGAAAATGTTATGGAAAAATATTCAGTCATCCCATCTATAATCAGGAGATAAAACTAAAACAAGAATAACAGTTGATGTCATACTTAAACCATTAAAACTTTTAAAAAAGAATAATGTTTATTGCCATAAAATTTGTATATGCATACATTATGGGTGAAAGTGCAAATAAACACAATATTTTGAAAAGCATTTGGGCAGTGTGTATCATGAATCATAATGTGTTTCAAACACATAATGTGTTTCAATTTCAATCTACTTCTGGGAGTCTATCTTATAGAAATAATACAAAAGAATAAAAATGTTTTCACACCAAGACATTCATTGCAACATTATGCATATAATTAGAAAAAAACCCTTTTGGATTTTGTATTTGTATATCCTCTGCTTCCCCCTGCTTTTTAAAGGTCTTTAAATGATTAACTGAAATACATCGTTATAAAAAAAGTAGAACACCACATTTATTTATGGAAATTATATTAATAAATTCCCATGGGAAAATACCAGGAGAAATTACGCAAGAATAATCAACTTTGTGAGAGTGTTGGGGTGAACTTTATCTTCAAGATGCTTAGTAATGCTTGTTGTTTATCCATTCTATATATAAAAGCTTACATCTGCTAACCCCAAGCTCCCACTCCATCCCTCTCCCAGCCCTCTCCCCACTGGCAACCACCAGTCTGTCCTCTATGTCCATGTAGGACAAAACTGTTAAGATGCTTGTCTGTGTGCCAATCTCTTTTCCTAAATCATAGTTTTTGCCTTAAAGAGGCTGGGCCAGGTAATCTCACCCTACAGTCTGGCACAGGATGGGTTTCTTCGTGCCACTGGGTATGATGCCGGCAGGCAATAAAGCATCAGGCCATCCAGAAGCTCGTGGGCCCCTCCCCTGTGCCCACGGAGGGGAGTCAGGCCTGGAACGTCCACGGTCCACAGTCCCAGCCCTGCATGTCTGGCATTCTTCATCATCCAGGCCTGTCTGCCGGCAGCCGAGGTCCTTGACAGTTGGTTCATCTGCAGTGGGGTTTAAAGCCAATGTCTGCAACTACATTATCCTGTTATCTAGATTGAGGATTAACACCTCTATTGATTTGATGGGGAAAATGGTTCCGAAATCCCCCTTGACAAGCTCTCTCTTTATCAAGAAACCACTCCGATCTCACCCACTTAGCAATTCACAGTAAGTGCCTATATGAACTGAAATTAGGCAGCTCCCAACCTGCCCGCTCTGTCCAACCCCAAGAGACAAGGTAGCAATAACTCGAGCCTGGAGCCTCACCCTCACCCCAAGGGCCTGGAATGAATCTGGAATGAAGCTCATAAAACCCAGGCCCTCTTTCAGAACCCTTATTACCGGGAGATAACACGTCTCCACATTCACTCCTACTGGCCTCCAATCCGTCCTCCGCAGAGAGCTAGAAGAGGTTTTTTAAAGACCCTCTGGTGGCTCCCATCACACAGACAATAGAAAATCACCCAGGCCCAGCCTCCATGGCCGCCCAGCCTGCACCCCCCACCTTTCCCGCCAAGCCTTGGCACTTTTCCCAGCCTCTGCTGGGGACACCCTCCTCCAGAGTGACCCACGCAGCCTGGTTCACCAGGCATTTTCCTCTGCCACTCAAGAAACCTCTCAGTCCCCAGCAAACCCAAACCGTGGATCAGACTGCTTCCCCACCCAACCCCACACGTCTAACTGGCCACACCCAGGCTTCTGGAAGGTCTTAGCCCAAAAGTCACTTCTCAGAAAGGCCTGACCCTTCCCCAACTCCTCCCCCGGCATCTGAATTGGGTCCTCATTGCTATTCTCTCTCGTGACACTCTTTTTGGTTGAGGGCACTTACGGAAATTATTTACTGCTTCACTCACCGTCATTGATTGAGGACCTAGGTGCTATTGGTTTATGGGCTGGGGATACAGCAGTAAACAAAGCAGACAGAAGTCCCTAACTTCAGAGTGCTTACGTCCTACAGGAAGAAACGGTATGATTTTTAGAGGCAAACCCTATAGACTGATCAGTGTGACAGAGAAAAAGAAAGCAAGAGGGGAAAGAGAATGTCAGGGGTGGCGTCCTCAGTCTTAGACAGGGCTCCCAGGGAGGTTACACCTTGATCACAAAAGATGAGGACGTGTATTTATTCCCATCCTGCCAGACCTACTAGAGCATGGACTTGAGGATATGGGGAGGGGGAAGGGTAAGCTGGGACAAAGTGAGAGAGTGGCATGGACATATACACACTACCAAACGTAAAATAGATAGCTAGTGGGAAGCAGCCGCATAGCAGAGGGAGATCAGCTCGGTGCTTTGTGACCACCTAGAGGGGTGGGCTAGGGAGGGAGGGAGGGAGGGAGACGCAAGAGGGAGGAGATATGGGCATATATGTATATGTATAGCTGATTCACTTTGTTACACAGCAGAAACTAACACACCATTGTAAAGCAATTATACTCCGATAAAGATGTTTAAAAAAAAAGGATGAGGAAGCAAAACTCAGATTCCTGGGAGTAAGTGTTCCAGACAGATGGAACAGAACGTGCAAAGGCCTGAGCAAAGAACAGTGAAGAAGCCAGAGTAGCAGGAGCTGACAGGTGAGAGGAACATGAGTTGCAAGTGAAGGCAGAGAGGTAACAGAGGTCTGACCCTGTGGGACCCAGTAGGTCCCTGTAAATCATGTGGCTTTTATACTGCATGAGATAGGAAGCTACAGCTGGGTTTGGTCTGCCTTGGGATTTAACCGGGGTGCTCTGACAAACACTTGTTAGGAGGCTTTCAAAAGATTCCGGGGGGGCGGATTAAATGAGGACAGTAGTAGCAGAGTTGATGAGAAGTTATTTAATTCTGTATATATTTTGAAGGTACAGCTGAAAAGATTTTCTTCTCAGTTGGATATGGGTGGGAAGGAAAGAAGAGTCAAGATGACTCCAATAGCACTGACCTCAGTGGAGAGAAGGATGGTGGCTCCATTCACTGAGATGGAGCCTGTGGGCAGCAGGTTGGCGGGGGTGGAGATCAGTTCTGAACGTGTTGACTTTCAGATGATTAAGCATCAAGTAGAGAATTAGATGCATGAGTCTGGGGGTCGAGAGAGAGTTGCGCTGGACATACACACCTGGGAATGTTTAGAGCCGAGACTGTATTCAAAGCCGTAACACGGTGGGTGAAATCACTAAGTGAGCTAAGTGTAGACAGAAAAGAGGAAAGGTCCAAGGACTAAGGTCTAGGACCATCCACATTTAGAGACTGGGGAAGTGAAAGGGAGAAGGCTGGTCAGAATGATGGAAACCAACAGGTAAACGTGTGTGTCCCAGAGGCTCGCTGAGGGCCACAACGGTGTCAAATGCTGCTCTTTTCTCAAATAAGACGTCTGAGAAATGACCTTTGCATGTAGTGTTGTAACAGTCATTAGATTTGTTAAGGGCAGTTTCAGTAGTGTCTTTGGGCTAAGCCTGATCTCCAGAGCATCAGTGACAGCCATCCACTGGATGGATCTGTTGGGACCCAGAGCATCCATTGTCAATGCCTTTCGAGGTATGGTCAGCATCCAAGTCAACAATGTTTTGATTGAATGGGATGGAATCTTGGACTACGAGAATGTAAGATGTGGAACACGTTCATTATAAATGCCAAAGAAAGCCTTGCCTGCTCAAACATTTTGCCTTATGCTTTTTCAGAGAGAAGAGGACCCTGTCTACACAGACATTCTCTAGGTTTAGGATCTTGAGGGAATACGTCTCTTTATATAAGGGACCAGATTTCTTGCATCTGCAGTGACTTCTTTTTGAGCCAGTGACCGCAGCAGGAACTTCTGTGATCTCTAGGGATCCCACATCCTTTTGTGTTCGTCTCCTGTGTTGACTTCACAGGGCTCCTGAAGGCCTCTGAAATAAGAGAGCCATTTCAAGAACCCAGATTTCTTACAACTGGTATGTGCTATGGAGGTCTTTTGTCTTGATCTCAGATTTTAATCAGTTTATTTCAAAAGCCGGAGAATAATTTCTTTTCACTTTTATTTATTTATTTATTTATTTATTATTTATTTTACATCTTTATTGGAGTATAATTGCTTTACAATGGTGTGTTAGTTTCTGCTTTATAACAAAGTGAATCAGTTATACATATACATATGTCCCCATATCTCCTCCCTCTTGCGTCTCCCTCCCTCCCACCCTCCCTATCCCACCCCTCCAGGCGGTCACAAAGCACCGAGCTGATCTGCCTGTGCTATGCGGCTGCTTCCCACTAGCTATCCATTTTACGTTTGGTAGTGTATATATGTCCATGCCTCTCTCTCGCTTTGTCACAGCTTACCCTTCCCCCTCCCCATATCCTCAAGTCCATTCTCTACTAGGTCTGTGTCTTTATTCCTTCCTTACCCCTAGGTTCTTCATGACATTTTTTTTCTTAAATTCCATATATATGTGTTAGCATACGGTATTTGTCTTTCTCTTTCTGACTTATTTCACTCTGTATGACAGACTCGAGGTCTACCCACCTCATTACAAATAGCTCAGTTTCGTTTCTTTTTATGGCTGAGTAATATTCCATTGTATATATGTGCCACATCTTCTTTATCCATTCATCCTATTTTCACTTTTAGAAACCTTGCTTCCACTTGCCCAGGTGGTTGGGTATGGTGAGGTATGACCTGGAAGAAAGAGGCAGGATTGGGAAGGGACACCTCCCTGATAGAAAAGCTCTAGAACCAGAGATATGGCTCAGCCTTTGTGCACCTCAGTTTACTCATCTGCCAAGCAGAATCAACAGCTGTCTTTCCTACCGGAAAGGACTCTGAGAGGATTAAATGAAGGAAAAGCCCACACTCCTTACTCCCTGGATGGGCTTCTGCTGTCCAACCCCTGCTGTTTGGAAGCTCCCCTCCTACTTGCACACTGGACATCTCAGGGCACACCCCGCAAACACAGGCTTTCTCTCTGCGCCTGCCTGGACCTCCCATTCTCTCCTTCCCAAACACCATCCCCCTCACTCTTCACCTGACCTGCTCCTGATTCCTTGAGGACACGGTTCCCTAGTCCTCCTTAAAGGGATGCAGTCCAGGGATTTCCAACTCTGTTTTAAGCCATAGAGACTTTTCTTCCAACGAAAGATGTCACAAAATGCCACTCTATGGAATGGAAGTCAGAACTGCTCTGGCTGGAGGAGGGAGGTGGGCTCAGTCAGACTCAGCTGGAGAACCCCGGCTTTACTGCAAAACTCAGAGAGGCTGAAGGTCAGGTCCAGGGCCACGTCAGGAGTGGTCAGTGGCAGACCCAGAGCCAGGATCTGAGTCTAGAGGTCCGGACCGAGGCCTCTCCTCACCCAGTACATCCAGAGAGCACTCTATCTCACACACTGGCTTCACAAGCAGGCAGTATCTTGTCTCATCCTTTCATGGCATCCCTGCGGAAGAGGGTCTACTTTTCCTGCTTTACAGATGGGGAAGCTGAGGGCCATGGAGGTGGCTGAGGACCATGAATAGGACCTTATATTCAGCTTTGTTTCTGGGGCTGACGCCCTACCCCTCCAGTCCCACTAGTCTGTTAAGGGTATGCAGAGTGCCCCGGGGGATACCTTCCCGTGGTGCCTGCAGCAGCGACAGTGCCACGGGCCCTCGGGGGCAGCAGGGCCCTGTGTGCATTGTCAGTCCTGCTGCTAGTGCTTTGCTCTGACACCCAGGGCCACGCTATGCCGGGATGCTCAATGCCACAGTCTGAAGGACCAGCTATGTGCAGCACTGATGGCAAGCAGGAGGCTACTATATTGTGACTGAATGAATGACAGGGTTCTGCTGTGTTGCTTTAAGGCCCTTCTGGTGGCTAAGCTGTTTAGCAAGATGGCCTGTGTCCTAGCCAAGATGGATGAAGCTGTCCAACTTTGGACGATATTATTAGTAAGGCCCTGGACCACCAGGTAAGTGAAACCAGTTCACTGTGGTCCCCTCCTAGTTTGGTGTTTTCCAACTCTACATCCTGACCTCCTAGGATGGTGCTGTATACACAGGGGAATTCAGTTCATACTTGTTCTTAATGCGCATGAAATTCTATCACCGTGCAAAGGACTCCAAGTCCAGTCCATGGCCCATTTAAATTACATCATATGAATGAAAATGGACCAATGAAAACTCCATACAATGACATAATTTTAGTTTATTCCAAAAGGGGTGTGAGCTACATGTTAGTGAATATAAGTAGTTGAATATAAATATTAGAGTGAACTAATAGAGTATTTTTACCCTCATGCCTTCTCTCCTCCCCTGCACACCATTTGCACACATACACACGTGTTACCTTTAGTTTAAAATGAACCCAGACTGCTGAAACTCTCTCCCTCCCAGCCTCTTAAATGACAAGGGCTGTCAAATAAATTCAAAAGCAGCAGGAGGTCCTTGGCAAATCATTGAAATCTGGTATCATTTGCTTAAATAACCCGCCCAGGACATTTGGGCAAAATGAATGTCCATTTCAGGTGGGTTGCTGATTCTTGGGGAAAAAAATGCATTTTGGGTCACATAAAAATAAAACAGGGGCTTCCCTGGTGGCGCAGTGGTTGAGAGTCCGTCTGCCGATGCAGGGGACACGGGTTCATGCCCCTGTCCGGGAAGATCCCACATGCCGCGGAGCGGCTGGGCCCGTGATCCATGGCCGCTGAGCCTGCAAGTCTGAAGCCTGTGCTCTGCAACGGGAGAGGCCACAACAGTGAGAGGCCCACGTACCGCAAAAATAAATAAATAAAATAAAAATAAATAAAACAATTTGTCAATGATTTTAAAGAGAGGTAGAAAGTATTCCCCTCATCTGATTTATAACAAGTAAATGCATGATATAAATGAAACACATAATTTTAAAGATGAGAAAAGCACTGGAGGCTGGAAGAGTTGAGAATTTAAGGGTGAAAGGAGTACCGCGTTACAGTGACACACAGGCTCACGCACAGATTTTTTTGGAGTAATGTCATCACCTTGTGGTCAGACAGGGTATTGCTGCTATAGACAAAACTCAAGGGCAAGTTCACGGCTATTTTTGTGCACTGGAATAGGTTTCTCGCTCTTCTTCCTTGCTGCACCACCTTTATCTGCTGTCTCACCGTTTTGAAATGCCACCCCTTCCAGGCTTTAAAGCATTATCCGTCCACTCGAGGCCTGACCTACACTGTTTTACTCAGCCGGGTCAAGAACTTAACCCAGTATGAAGTGCCCATCAAGGACGTGTGCCGACAGGTCCCCACCTACTTTGTCCAAGAGCAAAAAGAAGGTGTGTTAATAACTTAACTAGAAACTCAAGACCATGGTTGAGGCAAATGGTGCAGTATGATTTTTAGGTGCTTAGCAAATTCTAATGACAGTTTTCTTTGCTACTGGGTATAAATATAATGAGCCCTGAAATGCATTTCCCCCTGGTGGCAGTGAAGATTTCCTGATACCAGGGATCACTGAGAACAGGCAGCAGAGTTAACTTGGCTTTACCAGAAGGTTGAGGACAGTCATTTCACCATCGGGATTTGACAGCTGGTGATACTCTCACCTGACCCAAAGTTTCATCCTCCCCTCCCCTCCCCCTGCCCAAGCAGCACTGTGCCGGGCATCCCTCATCGGAGGCCCACTTCTTTGGGGTTCTCAGTCCTCCTCTTTCTCTGGCTGTCCAGATGCTGGAAGGCAGGACCCTGATAGTTATAGACCACACGCTGGGAAAGGAACGGCTCAGTGGCTGGCATCCCTGCTGGGGATATGGCTGGGGGATCAATGGTGACGGGCTTGGAAAGCTACCAGATAAGACTGCAAAATCTGCCTGCTGCTCCAGATAGAGTCAGTAACCACTTCCTGTTAAGCTGTTGCCTGTCACTTACATCTTAGCATGAACTAACCCACTGAACAAGGCTTCTTCATAACAGGAACTTCCAGCAGGAAAACACAGAGAGCTTGAGAGGCTGGGGGGTTAAAGAGGATGCTTAAAGAGCAATAAAAGAAATAGGAAAAGGCATATGGAACCAGTTAGTGCAGCACCCATGAGATCTTCCATTTTGTTCCCAAGTCTCTGGCTAGTAAAGTTGTCTTGAACATCACATCTAATTTAGGTGCAACTCACAATATATCCACTCTACTTAGGGGTCTTAGAGCGATTAAGTGATCTTTTAAGTAAAATGCTTCTTTTTCTTCTTAAAGGTACTGCACTGGCTATTGACCCCAATTCCTGTTTCGAAGTCCAAATTCTGTCCTTCCTGAGACTCTCCATCTGTGGGGCGCTCCCTGGGTTCTGAACCTCCAGGTCGGCCACGTGGAGAGCAGACCTGCCTGGATGGGACCGCTGATCTGAACCCAGAGCTCAGGGACCCAGCCCACCTCTGCTGATGGGAAGCAGCTCATTTCAGACCTCCACCTTCTACTTTTTGACCCAAGATCCAGCTCTGTAATCTAAAAACGGGATACACTTTCTCCCTCTGGAATAGAACAATAAAGTCTCTTGCCTCCCTGGTCTAGCAGATGAGCCCTCCCTGCCTGCACTGTCCTCTCTCGAGTTACTCGGTTCCCATCCATGTGCTGTCCACGCCATCACACACCAACACGGTGCAATGAAGGACGTGTCTCTCCTAGAATGTCTCATTTCCAAGGGCCTCTCTTTAGGGTGGCCCTTGACGAATCCCTCCAGAATTTGGGCCGTAAATAAATAAATAACAAAAAGACACTAGCCACAGCACAGACTTAAGCTTTCGGGTCTGAGGTCACATCTCTGTCGCCTGTAAATTGATGCTGAGTTCTATGGAGGCCTATTCTGGCCCAGCCTGCACCATGAAAATCCCTGAGAGCCAAGCGTATGAACAAGGCCTCCCAGACCTCTCTTTGGAACTGGTCTAAACCCCTTTGTGGGAACCCCCAGGTATTTCTCTCTGTTACAAATGAATAAGGGACCTGGCCTCTTTGCACTGGTCCTTTAACTGTCCATCCTTATAGCTGGAAGGACAGAAAGTCAGCCTCCCCCACAGCACACAGAACATCCCTAGTCCCCTCACCTTAGACGCTGGGATAAACAAGGAAAGGGTACTGGAAATACAGACACAGATGTCCACCAAAGGTCGTGCTGGAGGTTGGAGTAAATAGGACAGGACCGGGGTGGGGTGGGCTGAACAGCACGCGCGGGTGGAGTAGAAGGCCTCGGGGTGATCTCAGCACCGACCTGCCAAAGAAAGAGCTGAGCGCAAGCTTTGCAGAGTCATGATGTGGTGTGGTTACCTACAGTCATGAATGGAAAAGTGACTGCATGGGAAAGGCCCAAGATAAACCTCTAACTGGGCTTAAATAAGTTATGGTTGGGCCGGCCAGGGGCTCTGAAACTATGGATTTGGTCACATGCAGCTTGTCGAGGATAAGGCAGATGGAGATACCTGCACAGAGCATTCAGGGTAGAAGTATCGGATGTGACAGGCCAAGGCTTGGTCGACCAGAGACCCAGAGAGGACCACAAAGCAGAGTCCGGCCCCCAGGGCTTGGCCCAGTGAGTCCCGGAGTTAAGTCCCCATGGCTGTCAGTCCATCCTTGACCGGTATCTGCCATATCCCTGACCTCTATCCTCCAGCAACTTCAGGACCAGTCCCTGTCTGGTCCCATGTGCCTGAGTCCCTGTTACAGTTGTCTGGACCCCTGCTTCGGAGTCCTCTGTGATGGCATGTGGGCTGCTGTCTACTGACAGCTCTGATGCCCATCGAGCCTTCCCATCTGGACTTCTGAGCTTCAGCTGCTCCTGAATTTCCCATCATCTCCAGGTTCCACCTGATCATTACAACATACCTGTTACTTCCAGGAGACTTTAGACAACCCCCACCCCCAGGCACCCACCTGCTTATCTCCATCTGTTACCATCCCTGCAGACACTCTGCCAGCTAGACTGCTTTCCTCCAGGAAAATCTAGGTTCAAGGCCTGCTGCCCTCTTATGAATCACCACCCTTGGCTGTCATTGACTCCCCCATAATAGCTCTGTACCAGCTCTGAGAAACTATAAGTACAGCCTTCTAGACCTTACAGGGCTTGTCAAGGTAGATTTTGGTCCTTCAGCTTACAAGCTCAAACTTTATCTTATAAAGAATCTTCCGTGCATGCAGCAGGACTTAGATCCTTTGGGAGTTGGGATTGGAAGGAACAAAATTCCAAAATGTCATAGGCTGGGTGACTTGTAAACAACAAGCATTTATTTCTCACAGCTTTGGAGGCTGGGAAGTCCAAGATACAGGCACCAGCAAATTTGGTGTCTGGTGAGGGCCCACTTCCTTGTTCATGGACAGCTGTCTTCTCACGGTGTCCTAATAAGGTAGGAGGGACAAGGGAGAACTCTAGGGCCTCTATTCTAAGGGACTAATCTCATTACATTGGGGATTAGGTTTCAACATATGAATTTTAGGGAGACATAAACATTCTAGTATACAGCATCACCCTACTGATGACCATTGTTAACGTTTATCCTTGAGTTCACCTAATCCATCACTCAATGGAATTTACCATATTTGAATCTCAAACCAGTGCCCATCATCCTGACCCAAACGTATTCCACGTGTATCCAGACCACGTGCCTTCTGTTTAAAATACAATCACACTGATATTCACAACAGACTGTTTCCTCTATCTGTGATTGAGGAACTCAAGCTTCTTGCTGAGTCCTTTGCGATAATCTTGGAGTGTCCCTGGAGGGGCCTAGGAAGTAGCTAAAAATTAGCTCACTCATCTTCTAAGCGGGGAAATCTTTTACTCTCTCTCTCTTTTTTTTTTTTTTTCTTTTTTCCTGTCTTGGCACAGCTGCTGTTACTGACCTCTGCCGACATCTCCAACGCTGCCTCTCGGGACTGGGCCGAGGGGACTGGGAACCCACAGCCTGCTGTGCTCACAGCTGAGCCATCCCCACCACCTGCCGCTCCCCCACTGACCACGCGCCCTGGGCAGATGCCTCCATCTCAGCCTCAGCAGCCAGAGGGACTTGGGCCTCTGGACTCATCTCGAAATAAGGAACTGTGTCTCTCCCGTCGCTTTGGTGTCGGTCGTTCACACTGCTGCAACGTATGCGCTGGTTCCTTAGCGAAAAACAGGCATTTCTCTTCTGTGGCTTCTGTTGTTTCTACTTACAGTCCCCACCCACCACCCTGGGGCCTGGAGCATGAGCCCTTTGGACACTGGACTGGGGACAAATCTGAGCACAAGACATCACAGCATGCTCAGCATTGCTCCTCCCGTCTAGGACTTGTTGGGTACGACCCAACAAGTTGGGTATCCCAGCTCCCTCTCTCCTGAGAGTTCAATCTCCCTTGGCTCTGTCCTTATCTTCCTGCAGACATGCACTGGAAGGATCATCAGAGGTCCTTGGTCATGTCTACAGCCCAGCTGGGAACTGCACAAAACCCTCCCTCCAAGAAATCTCTGAGATTCTTGCAAAAATTCCACCCTTGCCCAGGAGGCCTTTCTCAGAAAGGAGGCCCAAGACAGAGGTCAAATTCCCTGCCTCCCAGTTCAGAGAACGATGCTCCAATGACATGGTTCTTTGTAGGGGGAGTCTTGCTCCCTTCAGTAGCCCCACCCCTTCCACCCTAGATGGAGGCAACCCTAACTGTCCTCATCACGCCTGCCTCTCCGCAGCCTCTGGGGAGAGCCGACTGGCCCCGATCCCCAGGTCTGCGTGGGCTGGCTCACCAGCCGAGGCTAGTGGCTGCTCAGTGCTCATTCTCTGGCTCCCTGCCCACTCCATGCTCTCAGCTTCCCCAGGGGTCAGGAGTGGGGCCCATTATCCTGCCAGGAATGTGCTGCTTCTCTTCCTGCTGCTGCCTGGGGTAGAGAGACTGTCCCCACAGTTTAAGCTGTATCTGGGCAGTTATTCCTATGGGGCATCTTCATTGGCTTCATCAGTTTTGGGGATGCTTTTCATCCAGGCAGTGCCCCCAGCCCTCCTCCTGGAGCTGACCTGCTGCTCATGGTGGACCCTCGTCCCTCCACAGCACTCAGCCCCTGGCCTGGCTCCGGGCACGTGGGGCTGGAGCATGAGCCTTTCAACGCCGCTCTGGGTTTCCTACAGCAAGGGCCAACTTGAGGTGTTTCCTAAGACTGCCACAGACTGGGTGGGCCTTCTTTGTATTCAGTTGTGTTTTACATTTTAAAAATATATAAACGTTTTTAGTGAGGTATAACATACAGTAAAGCATACAGATTTTAAGTACAATGAATTTTTACATATATACACCCATATAGCCATCACCTAGATGGAGATGTAGAACATTCCCTACACCCTAGAGGTTTCCTTCATGCTATTCCCAGACATACCCTCCCCCAAGCCTCACCCCAAGGGAGTAGAAAGGGACATTGATGGAATCTGAGGAGCTTTTAGCAAAAATCAAATACACCCTGGCAGGACCCATAGAGTGAGGGCCAGCTTCAGACTGTAAAGGGCTGGCGACTACCCCAGGATTCTCCCTATTATAGCAATCAGTCAGGGCAAACAAGAGAATAGCGAGGCTCCCAAAGGTAATTAACAAGAGGACAGGATGCTTGTCCATTGACCAGGCACCATGTTCCTGAGGCCATGCCCTGATGGGTGAGGCAAAGTAACTTTTCAGAGGAAGGTTGAGGGGTGGGCTACATCATTAGAGGTAGTGAGGTGTGTCACTTCACTAGTTCACATGCTACAGCATAAGCAGAAGGGACCCATGCCAGGGAACCCTTCCCCAGTGGTTAAAAGGAAACAGGCTTACCACCTTACAGTGGGGTAGACCCCTAGACCCCCAAACCCCAAGAAACCCTTGATTCAGTTCCTGTATGTGTCCTGAGCCCTTCACATCAGAGTTTCTGCAACCTCACACATGGTTCCTGAGCAAGCAGCAGGGCATGGTGTCTGGACTAATAAAAGGAACAGCAGGCCAAGCAGAGCTAGACAGTGGGCTCCAAGTACCATTTATTTCTCAGTCATTCTGTGAGTGGCACAGAGCACTGCCTTTCTACGGCACATGTGCAGCGATGTGGTGAGCCCAGAATTTCCAAAGGAGTTGTAGGGGTAAGAGAAGTAGAGGCAGTAGTGTTGGGGTGGACCCAGATCCTGGGATATGTGTGCCAGTTGGACTAACTCCACCTCTTTCAGGTGTATTTGTAAGGAATGCTTTTTAGCTGCAAATAAAGAAAATACAGTCACAGTGACTTAAGCAGGGATTGATCTGTATCACGTGAGTCCAGGGAAAGAAAATCCCAGCTGGTGCTGCACTAGAATGATGTAATCAGGCATTCTAGCTCTTTCTT